GCAGGACCTGCTGACTCAGGCCGAGAGGACGCCGCCAGAGGTGGGCTGATGCACTTCTCCTGACCCTGCGCCTGCTGTCCTGCACAGCACTGTTACCCTGACGGTTTACAGACAGTCCCTGGGAAGGGCCTGTTTTAGCTATCACAGGGCTGTGCACGGAGCTTAGTAATTGCCAAGTAAATGTTTGCTGAATTAACAAACGGAATTATTAATTACCAGTTAACCTACAGGGCAAGTTTCCATCTGTCCCCTGTATTTATGGGTCCTGGAGGAAGGACTGGGGCTGGAGTGGCCGGTGCTGGGCTCTGGCCAGCTCTCTGATGTTCTAGATGTTCCCTTCTCCCGTCTCCGTGCACAACCAGGATAGGGCTCGGTGATCCTGCTGAGGTCGTGTCTCCCAGCAGAGTCGTCTGTCCTCAGAGCATAGCTTCCTCTCGGCTGCCAAGCACCTGCCCTTGCCCGGCAGGCCTCACCCCTGCAGTGACCGGCACTTGGGTTGTCTCCCATCGCCCGTTCCCCACCCCTGCTGAGAGGAGACAGTTAGGTTCACTGCCTCCGCTTCCTCACCCCCCTCCCTGCCTACCTCCCATAGTCTGGCTGACCCCACCCTCCGTGTTACCAAAAGCAGCCACTTATATAGAGTCAAACAGAGCTGGCTGTCACCTTTTACCTCCCAAGACCCGCTCTTGTGTGACTGCTTCTCCTGCTGGCACCTGGCCATGTCTTTGCTTTCCACGTAAGCTGAGCTTCACTAACCCCCTGTGGGTTTTAGGTAAAACCTGAACAAATATAGCTCATACTCATCGTGGACCGGATCTACCCTTGTGATGATTAGATAGTTCGTGCATTGAATAGCCCTTACATGTTTACTTCCTGAGTGTACCTTTGTGGGCTTAAACAGCTTTGCCACTGCGGGGGAGAAAAGGTGAACCCTTCTTTCCAGCTCCTCTTCCACTGTGGGTCGATTACATCTGCACTGACGTAATCCTGGGTGCATGTCATCTTTGCAGACAAAGAGCTCGGGACACAGGAGGGGAAAGCTCAGAGAGGGGCTGCCGAATTGCAGACACGTGGAAAGGGGGCTCTTCCTTATCAGGTGGGAACCCCATGGAAGAGCTGTCAGCAGCAGCAGCGCAGACCCTGTGACACTTCCTTCTGCACCTCCTCCCTGATGCCTTGCTTCCCACAGCATGGCCGGGGTATGAGTGTGGGTGCCCGCACCCGTACTTCCATGCAGATGCTTCCCCGGGCTTCTGGAGTGCCTTATCTCAGACCCCCAGCGCTCCGTGCCAGATAGGAGACCATCAGGGCACCCAGGGCCATAACTCCCCACGGAGTTTCCTGCTGCCCCTTTTCTGCCATCTCTTCTCCCCTCCTACCAAATTCTGCTCCTAGAAAAGGATTTCAGTGGTGTTTCAAGACCAGGGGGGTTGGGGCCTGGTCCTGTCCTTCACTAGCTTTGTGGTTTTGGACAGCCCATACCTTAATCTCCACACCCAGTGCACGCGACAGCGCTTTGAAATAACCGCAAGGTGCCAGTACCACACTGTCTTCATTACTGCAGCTTTAAAGTAAGAGTGTGATATTGGCCTAAAGATAGGCGGATAGAAATAGATGAATGAAACGAGTCGAGTCCAGAAATAGAGCCACACCTACGTGGTCAATGGATTGTCATCAAAGGTGCAAAGGCAATTTAGCGGAGAAAACGCAGCCTTTTCAACAAGTGGCGCTGGAACAATTGGATATCCATATGCAAAAAAATGTACTTGTACCATATTCAAAAATTAACTCAAGATTCATCACAGACATAAATGTACCATATAAGGCTATAAAACTTCTAGAAGAAAACATAGGATAAAGTCTTTGGGACCTTGGGTCAGATAGGGATTTCTTAAGTATTACACTGAAAACACATAAAAGAAAATGTCGATAAAGTGGACTTCATCAAAGCTGCAAGCACCTGTTCTTGGACAGACAGCTGTTGAGAGAATGAAAAATCACGGACTGGGAGAAAATATTCACAAATCACAAGTTGAATCAGACTATTTAAAGAACTCTCAAAATTCAGTAATAAAACAACTTTTTTTTTAATGGGTGCAAGATTTTTACAGATAGTTTGCCAGAGAACATGTATGATGGCAGATGGGCACATGAAGGTGCACCCACAGTGAGACCGTGTGCTTTACTCTGAGAGACAGGTGCCAGCCAGCTGGGAAGGCTCAGGTCCTGCACCCATGGCGTAGGCTCAGTGGGGGGATTTGCCGACGAGCGGGGCGAGATGCGGAAGAGTGGCTCCCTGCGGCCCCCGGGTCTGGGCCTGAGCACTCAGGCCAACGGGAGGATGGGGGTGGCTGCACATGTCAGATCTGGTGTCTGTTAAAGTCCATGCGGCTATGGGCACGGGCAGCTGTCGCTGGGCATCTAGGGGTCGGGATGCTGCAGCCTTGTTCTGGGCTTCTGCACACCTGAGGGTGGTGTCAGCGTGAGGGTGACATCTGAACCAAAACCATGAGGGCAGATAGGCAGAAAAGGTGAGGCCGGGCGGGCCGGAGCCCCTCGCTGGGCAGGTCCCCCCTGTCTCTGCACCAGCTCTGGGCACTTTCGGTCTCCTTGGCCTGTGACCACTGTGATTCTCCTCTCCCTGACAGGGTCCCTTCGCTGTTAGAATAATTGAATTACAAATAGGTTAAATCCCAGCACCAAAGAGAAGAGGAGGGGGCTCCCAATAAAAGAGGCATTGCCATCGGCTTCCTCCTTCCCGCATTGGTCTGCATGGTGGGGACGGGGACCCCGAGCCCCTGGGCCGGGCCTGCCTCGTGCAGGAGGGTTTTTCCCGTCCAGGGCATGAGTCACTGGTTAACTCACCGGCTAATCAGGACTGCTCCTTATCCCCCCCAGTGCAGAGAAGGCGACATTAACCGCCCCTCCACTGCATGACGAGGGGGCAGCAGCGACCTGTGACTGATGTGCTGGCTGTTCTCAGCCCCAGGCGCCCAGAGTGCTGGCCAGCGCTGACCCAGTTCCTCCTCTCGACCAGGGCTGTTACATAACAGATGGCCACAGGGCCCTGCTGCCTGTGACCTGGAGGGAGTGTTCTTAATTAAAAAGGAGGCATGAAGCCCCAAGTGGCTTTTGTCAATCTCAGCTCATACAAACGGGTTTTTAAAAAGGGATTGATTGAGCTCACTGACTGGTATCTGTTTGGGAATCAGGGGTATTTACTTGCTGTCACGCTAGACCTTACTTCATGAGCGCCCCACTTCCCATCTAATGTGGACGTGGTGACACGAGCAGCGCCGTCCGACAGCCTCCTGTCGCGGTAGGGGGTCCTCTATCTGTGCTGTCCAGACGGCAGCCACCAGCCCTTGAGGTGCTTGTTTGGCCACCTATGGCTAGAGGTCACCATATCGGACAGCGAAGCTATGTAACATTAATATGGTAAGGACTGTGTTCTGAAAATTCTGTTTACTGTGTCTTACACCTCCATGTTAAAATCCGTGTTGTTCAGAAAGTATAATTTTATTATGAATAATAATTCCAGCTAACAGTTCGAGTTGTTTGTTGACCAAGTTACCTCCCAACACATTTTTAAGACACGAGTGTGGGATAGGTTTCTTTAGGGTCCTTCCTGGTCAGTCTTTGCTAACACCAAATGCTCAGTCGCCGTCGCCGTTTACTCACCTGCCCGCGACAGTGGTGGCTCTCTGCAGGTGCCTCTTACCACACCATGGAGGAAGTTGGTTTGCGGCTACGCTTTGTGTTTGTGTTTTCCTGTTAGCATTTTTTCTCAGCAACATTATTTTGATGAGGGAAAAAGCATTTGCCCCGGCTTTTAAACAACAGTCACCCCTTCTGCGTGTGCACTGGGCCCTGTCTTTACAGGTTAGATCAGAGGGCAGCCGGCCGGGTGGCACATTACAGGGACAGCCATGCCTGGGGGACATGCAGACACTGCCCTGGCTGCCCTCCCCCACCGCCCCACCCCT